CGCTCACCCGTGTATTCGGTGCCCCAAACGGTGTCTGGCTAGAGGAGGTTTTCTGGAACGTCTGCTTGCAGGCAGGACTGTGTGACTTGGCTATTGTGATCGATTTTGTGGACAGAAAGGCTGCAGTGTCACACAGGCACCTAATCTGGGGTGTACGAGACCCTGATGACACGTGCTGGGGAAAATGTCACCAGGATAAATCCACCAGGGCGGCAAAGAGGCTATGGACATGTTGCGGACCCAGGGGAAAAAACACTGTGCGTTTCCTTCACAGAGTCATCTATTTTTAACAATAAACCACAAGTTTCCTACCCCAGCCTTGGCCTCTCTGTTGCACGAGCAGAGCCACCCAGCGCCCAGTGTGGGGACTCGGGTTTGCAGGAGGCAGTGAGCCTTCCTCCCCCTCCCCCGCCCTCTCCCCCTCCTCGACCCCCCCCTCCCCCGCAAGCCCGGCTGCCTGGGGTCGCAGGACCTGAAAGGCCCCCGCCCCGCCCCAGGACGCAGGACCGGCTCCGGAGGAAAGGGCGTCCGTCTGTGCTCTCCGGCCTCCCCCCCGGGCGCCCCTTATTCGTGTTTGTTCTCCCTTTTTCCAGGTCTAGCTTCTCCCACAACCGGAAGTGTAGGCTGGACGGAGGAGAGGGAAGGGGAGGGGGCCGGGGAGACCCGACGGGGTGAAAACCGCCCAACTCCGCGCGCCCAGCGCAGACGCTTCGTGTGCACTGAGGGTCCCGGTTCTCAGAGCCCGCCGCCTCCGCGCCGCCCCCCGGCGCCCCCTCCCAACCCCGGGCGGCAGCGACCCCACCTGGGCTGCCCGCCCCCCGCGCCCCCGGCCTGACCCTGCGCCCCGCCGAGATAAGGCGGCGAGCCTTTGTTCCTCCCCCCAGCTGGGTAAACCGCGCCCGCCGCCCCCTGGCCCAGGCCGCCCGGGGTGGGGGCACCCTTTGTCCCGCCCGAGCGGCTGGACAATGGCCCGGGGCAGCCGCACTTTTGTCCGGCACCGTGTGCACACCTGGGGGGCGGCAGGTGCGCGGGGTCGGCGCGGGGCCGGGGGCGGGACTCGTGGAGCGGAGGGCGGGGAGGCCCGGAGACCCGCCCCGCCCCGGACCCCGACCCTCAGGCCCCCGCCCCCCGGGCCCCCACCCCGGCTCCGCACCCCTGGACCCCCACCCCACCCCGAGCTCTGGCCCCCGCCCTGACCCCCGGGACCCCTCCCCGCTCGCTGGAGGGGGGGAGGGGGTGTTTCTCCTCGGCGTCCAGTTGGGGACACACCTGGCGCGTCTTAAGGTGATTTACGAAGTGAAAGTGTTAAACGAGGCCGCCAGCTGGAGGCCCGACCCGGCTTTATGAGTTTTATTAGGTGCCCTATTACGGAAAATAAACTTTAATCCGACCATAAAAACCAAATCTGAAAAACATATTTGCGCTTGTAGTCGGCCCGGTGCACGTCCCTGGCGAGGTCACACCTCCCGCGGGATTAGTTTTATTGAGGGAGACGCAAGGCACCGCGGGACTTTGATACGGGGGGGGCGCACCTCTGCGGGGAGCACTCCCCCAGGTGGCCCACAACCCTCACGCCCCCCTCCTGCGGGCCCCCTCCCACCCCACCCTGGGAGCGCAGTCTCCCCGGGGCAGGGGGCAGGGGCCCGGGGCCGGCCGCAGGGCTGAGCTAACCCGCAAGCCCGGGAGGAGCTCAGGGCCTTGGGCGCGACGGAGGGGGCGGTCATCCAGACGCCCTCTTGCTCCGGTCCGGGGGCTCCCCTCCTGTGCCCTCTCTGCGCTCTGGATTTTCCACAGCAAGTCACCGTCTTCAGGAGGGAAGGAGGGAGAGGGTGGAAGACAGGCCCGGCTTCGTCTTAACCGTCTCCAGGGGCCGCTCCCTACTGGCGTTGGGAAAAGATCCCCAGAATCTTTCCGTCTTGCAAAACTGAAACCCTGTACCCCTTGAAAAACTCCCTTTCCCCTTTCCTCCCAGGTCCACGCAACTACCACTCTACTCTGTTTCTAAGAGTTTGACTGACCCGGATTGCACATCTAAGAATTTGTGACTGGTTTATTTCACGTGGCATAATGCCCTCCAGGTTCATCCACGCTGTGCAGGGACAGGCCTCCCTTCCCAGAGGCTGAGCAACGTCCGTCCTGTGTGTACACATCCCTCTTTCTCTGTCCGTCTGTCCGCAGGCACATTGCTTCCACCTCCTGGGTATTGAGACTCGCTCTGCGATGGTCACGGGTGTGCAAAGTCTCTCTTCCAGACCCGGTTTTCGGGTCTCTAGGGTACACAGCCAGAAGCAAGACTGCTGGGTCCTATGGTAATTCTAGGGTTTTTTGGTTTTGTTTCGTTCTTTGTTTCGTTCTTTGTTTTCGTTTTGTTTGTTTTCAAGGAAGCTCCGAACCGTTTTGCAGGGTGGCTGCCCTGTTCTACATTCTTAACCAGCTGGGCACACAGCTTCCAGTTTCTCCGTATCGTCGCCAACACTTGTTATTTTCTGGTTTTGTTTTTATAACCGCCATCCCAGGGGCTGTGAGGCAGTATCAGGTGATGGTCTTGATGTGTCCTTCCCCAGTGACCAGTGAGGTCGAGCCTCTTTCCGTGGGCTGCGGGTCACTCCTGTGTCTACTTCAGACAAATGTCTCGAGTCCTTTGCTTGTTTTTAGGTGGGCTTCATGTTTTTGTCATCGTTGGGTTGTAGGAGTTCTTACCTACGGGAATATTAGCCCTTTACCAGACACATGATTTACAAGCATCTTCTCCCGATCCGGGCTGTCTTGTCATTCTGTTGACTGTTTGCTGTGCGAAAGCTTTAGAGTTTGATGTGCTCCCGTTTGTCTATTTTTGCTTTTGTGGCGGGTGCTTCTGGTGTCCTAGAAGGTCTTTGAAGCCGCTCCTGCGGAGCTGACCGCCCTCTGGGGATGGGCTGTGGAAGGCGCCCCTCCGAAGGAGCAGGCCTTCCCCTTCTAGGTTCTAGTGCGTTCTGCACGTCTCAGACACCGGCTATGGAAGCTTCTGTAGAGGCCTGGGACCCTGGGCCACAGCTCTGCCGTGGGCAGGAGACCGTGGGGCGCCCCGGAAGGATGTGTGCAGATTGGATTCTTTGTCACAGAAAAGGCGTTTATCACATCCTTTTGTGCAGCTCCGCAGGGCAGATGCCCCTTTTCTGAGATCGAAGGGAAACCTCCCACTAGGATGGGGAGAAGCACAGGCAAGATCGGCCCTCGGCAAGCAGGGGTTCGGACTGGGGTTCCCAGTGGGGCGCTTTGGGTGGAGCCCCGGGGGCTACAGGACCGGGCGGCGCGCCCACTCCCGGTGGAAAGCGGGGAGGCCAGCGCGATAGGCCCGGGCTTGTCTGAAGACAATGCCTTCGTCTGCCTCTGGGCTGTGGGTCCTGGAAAGGGGGTCCCGGGAGGGGGGTGTTGCACAGCCTCCCCCCCCTCGCGCGGCCAGCCCGGTGGGGGGCGCGCCCGCGAGCCGGGCGGAGCCGGCCCGGCGGCCGTTCATCAGGCGGGATGAATTGTTCGCCGTGCCCGGAGTGGGTGAGGACGAGCCGGTGATTATATTTAAATTTGCTATAATTGATTTGGGGAAGAGCTACTGTGACAAGAACGAATTGATCATTAAATTTATTAGCGAGATAAATTCCGCCGCGCTTAGGCAGCCGGCGGGAGACGCCAGGGCCGCGGGCGGTCGGGCCTCCCCTCCGCCGAGCCCCGCGCCCAGGCCGCCGAGGGCACGGGCGGGGCACGGGGCGCGCCCGCCTCCGGCGCCCCTCCTGCGCGGGTCGCGGCGCGGGCCGGCCCCGGGCTCCGGGGGCTCAGCCCCTCGTGGGGAGGCCCCCCGAACCCCAGGCCCCGCTGCCGCCCCAGACTGAAGGCAGCCAGCCGGGGAAGAGACCGCTCCAGGCGAAACCTCAGCCATGTGTTAGGAATTAAAACGCCGTGTCCACAGATTGCAGAGGGGGCGCGTGTGCGCGCGCGGAACCCCCCAAAGCATCTGTCTTTCTCTTGACTCCCTCCTCCAGCCCTCTCAGCCCCCGCCCCTCCTTCGGAGCCCTCTGGCCTCCCCGCCGGTTGCGAGCCCGGCCCCGGTCCCCGAAGCACCTTTGGACCCCGGGGTGGCCGAGGCCCGCGCCCTGCCGGCGGCTGCTCCCCGCGGCTCCGGCAGCGCCGCGCCGGCCTCGGCTGACGCTGCGTTTTACGGAACGAGCCCTGGGTGAGAACGAGCTGCCCGGGAGGATATCAATCTCTCCGCAGCCCCGGGGCGGAGGAGCGGCCCCGCCAACCCGCGCCAAGCACCCCGAGGGAACGCCGGGCCTCCGGAGCTCATTTATCAGCCGGAGGGGGAGGGGCGGGGAGGGGGAGGGGCGCTCCCGCGCGGCTGGGGGGGGGGACGGGGAGCCGCAGGGCGACGGAGGGGGCCCGAGGGGGGTGCCCTGCTCCCGCCCCCCCCCGCCCAGGAGGGGCCGCGGGCATGTGTGCGGCACATGGCGGCCGGTGACCGAGGGCGCGCGCGCCACGCTTGCTGACCCGGCGCCGGGCGGCGCGCACAGACCCGGGGGCCCCGCCGGGGAGGCTCCGCGGGGCGGGGCGGGGCTGCGCGAGGACCCGGACCCCGACGCCCGCCGGCGGAGCCACCCAGTTGTGTGAAGGCTGATTTGCCGAAACGTTCAAATCGTGTTTTCACTCCCGAGCGCCAGTGAAGCAAGACCCTCACGGAAATGAAATAAATGCGCGGACTCGAGAGCGGCCCTCCGGGGACCCCGCGTCCGGACGCAGGGATTTGTGCCAACATCCCGCACGTGCGGCTAACCCTAACCCTCACACGGACTTGCGATTCTGATTTGCACCCTCTGCTGTCAGAGGAGGGACCCCCCCCCCGTTCACTGCAACGACAAAAATTGTCAAGTCCGCTTTCCTAACTCACCCCCAAAGACCTGCACGCTCATGCAGTAAAAAACCAATTTATTTTACATTCCATCGTGGGCGACGGGAGAAGCTGAATAATAATTTAGCATGCATACGTAGACGTTTCTTTATATATATATAAATACAATATACAAAAATAAAGACGGTACAGTTTTGAGATTTCCAGCAGTTTGAAAGCGCATGACATCAAGTCGCCCCTAGGTAGGTAAGCACAAAACATCTTCCCGTTTTCAATACTCAAGTTTTCCAGGTCGTCCAACACTGCAGGTCCCGGCCTTCTCCGTTCAGGAAGTGGGGGGCGGTGGGGGCTTCCCCTGGCGGTGCTCAGGGCTTCTCACAAACGGCACCCCCAACACTAACCAAAATTAAATTAAAAAGGACAGGAGTTCACGTGTGCACCCGTCGGGTGTCCCTTGGAGAGCAGACGGGTGCCTGAACCAGCCCAGGTCGCGGGGCCTCACGCCGGGGCTGCCTGGGGGCGCGGGGGCCCCCTCCTGGGGCGGATGCCCGGCCGCGGGGCCCCTACTGGGGCTGGGGCTGGTGCCCGGGCCCGCCGGGCCGCGGGGGCGGGGAGTCGGCCTCGGACGAGCAGTCGGAGGAGACAGCGTGCGCGCTCGCTCCGTTGCTGTAGGGAAAGGGGTCCTCGTCGTCGTCGTCGTCGTCCTCGGGATCACTGTCCCTCAAGTCCCGCAGGCGGCGACCGCTGCCTTTGTCCCCGGCCGCGGGCGGCCCCAGCAGCTCCTCGTCCCCCTTGTCCTCCGCGAGGCCCCCTTTGCTGGCGCCCCCGCCGCCCTTCTGCTTCTCAGCCTCCTGCGCCGCCTGCTCCTTGGCCTTTTTGCTGCGTTTCCACTTCATCCGCCGGTTCTGGAACCAGATCTTCACCTGAGGGCACCAGAGGGCGTGAGAAACTGGCCACCCTGTCCCCACCCCACCTCTCTCTGGAGTCCCACCCGCACCTCGCTCACTGGCCCTCAGGGGGCAGGAGTGGGGTCAGGGGAAGGGCTGACCCCCCAGACATCAGCAACCCCCAGGGTGGGGCTGGGGTCTCCAAGGAAGCTCAGAGCGGGACCTTGGCTGCAGGACTCCCGTCTTTTTCCAGGGGTCTCTGGCATCGACCAGATGGGACCTGGGCAGCGGGAGCAGATATCTGTAAATCTCCCGACGTCCCCGCCTCTCTTTCCGGAATATAATTCCTCACATGTGGCCTGGGAAACCACTGCTTCAGAATGGAGGCGGGCGAGTGTCCTTCAAATGCAGAGTTCTGGGTCTCAGCCCCTGAACGGGGCCTCTGGGCCTGGTGTATGAGCCCTGGCGGGGCGCCTGCGAGCCCTCCGGGGGGCTCAGGCCTGCCGAGGGCCAGGGGTGCACAGGAGACATGGCCCCAGGGGGCGGGCGCGAGGGACCACACACCTGGGTCTCGGTGAGCATCAGCGAGGTGGCCACCTCAAAGCGCTTGGGCCGGGACAGGTACTTGTTGAGCTTGAACTGGTGCTCCAGCTCGAGCAGCTGCTGGCTGGTGAAGGCGGTGCGCGGCCGACGGCACTTCCCCAGGAGGTTTGACTGCGCCTGGGCTGGGGACAGAGAGGGGCGTGAGGCCTCCGGCCCCCACTGCCACCCAACGCGACCCGGGCCGCCCAGCCGTCAGCCCACAGCACTGCCGCTCTTTCTTCAATGTGGGCGCCCTCTCCCCAGGGGCGCCTGGGTGCCCAGGCCCCGATGCCAGGTGGAGCCTTACGAATGTAGGTTTAATGGGACCAAGTTTTTTTTTTTTTTTAACCCAAAGCTGGGCATTCTGATTAGAGGCGCTCTGGCCCCTCACCGCCCATGGCAGCCCCGTGCACCCGGGTGGGGGCGTAGACGAAGGTGGACAGGCAAGGAGCAAAGGCCGGAGGGGCACTCCTGCCCACTCCTCACTGAGTCCTCCCCCAGCTCAGGCTCAAATCCAGACAGGTCCCAGCCGGCACGGGACCGGTGTGGGATTCCCACCACCACCTCCTTCAGGACCTAAGAGGGGAAGGGGGAAGGGAAAGGAAGAAGGACGGAGAAGGGCCAGATCCTGGGCCCGAACCTGCGCATTCGTCAGGCTCCCCCACTGAAAACGGCCCCGCGCCCAGGGCGCGGAGGGGCAGAGCCCAGGGAGACAGGGAGCCTCTCCAGAACCGGTCTCATTTCGCAAATGGAAGGCGTAGACCCGGGGGGTGGGGGGGAGGGGCGGGTCCTGCTTCCTTGCGTTCAAGGAGGCCCATTGGCTGTATTTACATAATTTCACACGGTTACATCACAGAGAATTTTATGACCTCAAAATGAGACTTGCCTTGATTTCCCAGGAGCCTGACAAGTGTCAGACAATAAAGGGAAGGGAAGAAAAGAGGCCAGCGGAGCGGCTGAGCTCAGGCCCCCGGGGTGGGCAATTTGCTTTACAGGAAGGCCCACGCCCCCAGCTTTAGTTAAATGAGGCCCCAATTCCCAACTTGACAATACATTAGAACTTTAATTAAAACACTGGCTCCAAAGGGACCATTTGGGACATGCCATCCAACAGCAGAGACAACCTATTAAAGGAAACCAAACAGGTTCACCAGCGGCCAGAGGAGGAACTCTCAGAACAGATGCCGGCACCCTGGCCGCTTTATTACTGCCCTTTAGGATTTGGCGTTCAGGTTCCCTGTCTAAACTTAAAGCTGGCCGGGTTTTACCTCTGCTCCCTCTAGGTCAGGATTAGGAATCGGGGATGGGCAAAGTGTGCTGGTGAAGGATTTTGGGTTTCACCGATCTCCCGAACGATCTTGAGCTCTGCGAGGGCCCAGGAGAGCACCCATCCCTAGGGGGGCAGGGGACCCAGTGCCCAGGGGACCAGCAGCCCCGTCCCAGGGAGACTAAGCATCCCAGGCTCTGGGAAATGCAGATCATAAGGGGAAATCCATGGGGGGGCTTCACACGAGCAGGGGTTTGCAAGGCTCTGGCAACGAAGCCAGGAAGCAAGCCCTGCATTTGGCTGACCCGGGATCAGCAGCTTCTGATACGTCTGAGGCTGCCGCCGCCACACGGAGAGGCGAGGAGGAGGTTCCCCTGCTAGGGGTCAGGCCGAGCAGGCCGGTGGTGGCCGTGAGGGTCTCGTGGGAGCTGAGCTGGCAGCAGTCAGGGCTGGGCTGCAGGCCGGCAGTGCGCACGCAGGGATTTTCTCACCTGGCTGTGACTTCTCCAGCCTCAGGGTCTTGGCTTTTCTCTGTTTAGTCACAACCACGGCCTCTAGCAGAGGGATCTCAATTCTGCCAAGTGTTTATTTCTGTTTTCTTTTTTGCTTTCTTCCCCTCCTATGCCTGCCTCTCCCCAGTCCAAACACACCCACTTGGAGGGAAACAATGGGGTCTCTTTGTTCCGGTCTCCTGCAGCTGAAAGCGTCAAGTCTTCAGCATCAGCCTGTTCCGGAATCGGGGTGGGCCGGGACCCAGGCTCCCCAGAGGGCCAGCCCAGGGTGCCTGCCCAGGGTGCCTGCCCACGGGCCAGGAGAGCTGAGTGGGCCCAGGCCAGCGGGAGGAGTCCCACCTCTGCCCACAGTCCAGCTGCTCTCCTCCGGGCTGGGGCCGGGGAGCCCTCCCTACCTCCTACCTTGGGGAGGGGCTCACTCTGGAGGGGGTGCCTCCAATTCTGGGCGGGCACCTGCTGCTGTACTGAGAGTCCCCGAGATGGGGTTCCTGAAAGAGGCACATCTCCCCTTCCCGGGAGCACAGCGTCCACGCTCAGTTTAGGTCAGGCCACCTGCCTCCTGGGCATCGCAGGGCGGCGCAGGGTCCTTACCGAGGCAGGCACAGCCCCCGGGGCCGGAGCCTCGCCAGGGACCTGGCCTTGCGGCCCCGGCCTCTTGAACCCCAGTCCGTGTTCTCGGCGCCCGCTCTCTCCGCCCAGAAGGGGCCAGGGGCCTCCTGGGAGCCCAGAACCGGTACCGGAGTCAAGTCCGGGTCCCTGGAGAGAAGCCCGGTCCCGGCGGCCCCGTCCCCGGGCCAGCCTACCTCGGTGCTCTCCGGCTCGGCTCGCCGTCCCTCCCCACTTCCTCCTCTGGCCTGCCGGTTAATCATTAGATTGGAGTCTCACACCTCCAGCTGCCCCTTCCCGTTAGGAGAGGAAGAGAAAGCAGGGCCCGCGCGTGGCCATTTTAGTAACTCGCTGCCGATTCCACCGCGCGAAGCCCGCACGGGTCTTCGCGGGCCGCGGGCGGAGCCGAGGCGGCTTCGCGGCGCTTCCACCGCGCTCTCGGAGCGCAGAGCCGGGCACGGGGGCGGCGGGCGGCGGGGGCTGCGCGGGAAACCCGCGTGCCGGGACGCTCCTCCCCCATCTCCCCCTGCTTCCCCTGCAGGCCCGGGGCTGCGCGGTACTCACAGTTAAAGTCGGGCATCTTGGGCAGGATCATGCCCGCAGTGGACGCACGCAGCCACTGGTCCAGCTGGAAGGTGCCGGCGCCCAGCTTGATGGGGTCGGCGGGGTGCGCGGGGTGCGCGCCCTGCACCTGCGGGTACGAGTAGGAGAGCGCCGGGTGCTGGCCGGCCAGCGCGGCCGCCGCCGCCGCCGCCGAGTAGCCGTAGACCGGGTGGCCGTAGAGCGCGGCCTGCGCGGGGAGGCCCGCGCCGCCCTGCGCGCCCCCGGGGTGCAGCCCCAGCGCCAGGCCCCCCGCGGCGGCGGCGGCGGCGGCAGCGGCGGCGGCGGCGGCCGCGGCTCCTGGGTGCGCGTGGTGGGGGGGGCCCCCGGGCCCGCCGCCCGCGCCGCCCGCGCCGCCGCCCGCGCCGCCCGCGCCCAGGAAGCCGGGCTTGGGCAGCAGCGCGCAGTGCGCGGCCAGCAGGCGCGGCGGCGACGGGCTCTCGGCGCGCAGACGGTCGGCGGGCGCCGCGGGCGGCTCCGAGGACGCGGGGCTGCAGCTGCCGCTCGCCCCGCCGCCCGCCCCGCCGCCGCCGCCGCCGCCGCCGCCGCCCCCGGGGCCAGACGCGGCGGCCGCGAGCGACGTGACCAGGGCCAGCGGCGCGGTCTGCGCGGAGGCCGCTCGCGGGGGGTCCACGGCCAGCAGCGCATCGATGCGGAAATTTTTGGATTTTTCCATCGGCCTGTTTGGGGCTGGCGAGGAGGGCCGGGTGGCGCGGCCGCGTGCGGGCTCGCGGAGTCCGTGCGCGGCGGTGGCAAGCCCCAGGGTTCGGTATTGTTATGGTGATTATTTGCCAATAATCAAAGTCGCCGCCGGAAACTCAGCCGAGGGTGACCATGGTCCGGGCGCCTCCTCCGTGCGGGCCCCGCCCCGGGCCGCACTCGCACGCGCTTTGCACAAACTCGCCCGCGAGCGCCGGGACGCACCGGGCCGGGGAGCCCGGCTCAGTGCGCTGGACCCTCGGGCGACCGCGCCGAGGCCGCTGGCGCCGTGCTGGGGACCTGCGCCCCTCCGCGCACTTGAAGCCCAGCGCGGCCGCCGATTGGCGCGCTCGGCGGGGGCTCGGGGAGGGGCGCCGGCCCCGCCATTGGCCAAGGGGCGCACCTGTCACCGTCCCGGCCGCCTGCCGCCCCGCCCCTGCGCCGCGGGGTCCTAAACAACCGGGGCGCGGAGCCGCGATGGCGGGGCGGGGACTGCGCCGGGCTTGCCAGACCCGGAGCCTCAACCCGGGGACCCCGCTCGCCCTCCTGCCAACACAGAGAGGGGCTGCGGGCGCGGGCACCCCCGGTCCGGGTGTGGGCCCCGCTGCCCGAGTCCAGCTCCCGAGACACGCTGTCCCGCTCTGGGCTCGGCGTCGCCTGGGGCAGTGGCCCGCGCCGCCTCGCGCCGCCTCGCCAGCCCTGGAGTCCGCGCTCCTGCGTCGGGAGCGCACGTTGCTCGCAGATCAGCTGCTTTGCTCCGTGACCGCAGCACAGCGAAGACCATACGGGTCCCCAAGCCCCGCTCCCGGGTCTCCAGGGTACCCAGGAGCGGCCCGTGTCCCTGTCGCCAACTCTCTGCAGGTGGAACCTTCTCCTCTACTCTGTGCGTCTCAGGTGCTGTGTGTGTGTGTGTGTGTGTGTGTGTGTGTGTGCGCGCGCGCGCGCGTGCGCCTTCCACTAGTCCTGGCCTTGAGCGCCTGCCCCGTCGAGGCGGAATAGGCTGAATCCGCGAGCCCGCGGCCTGCCAGACCCGGATCCGAAGGGAGACCTTGCCCACCTGCCCTTGAGACGACCCTCAGTGACAGCGCCCCTCTTCTCTGCGAAGGTGACCCTCGGGCGTGGGAGAGGCAGCACCCTCCCCGGAAAGCCGGCGGGAGCGCAGAGTCCTCCGAGGCCGGGGCCCCGACCCTGCCTGGTCCAGGCGGGAAGATGCAGCCTCTCTCCCCCGGCTGCCTGCAGCCTGCGGGGTCGTGCCGAAGCCTGCGCCCCCTGGCTGAGCAAGGTAGTGGAGTGAGAATCCAGACTTCACACCTACCCCCTTGTCCCCACACACACTTCAAATATTTACAGTAAAAGCACTTCCAAGGCCTTTTCTGCAGCCGAGAGAATCAACAGGCAGGTCGGGGAGTCCAGCGGCCACCCGCGAGAGGCTTTGTCAGTAACTCCAAGAGACTTAGTTCTCCGGCCCCAGCTGGGAGAGAATGGGGGGCGGATTCTAGAAGCCTGCTTCCCAAGCAGGTGAGAGGGCGGTAAGGGACAGGGTGGGGGCTGCGGGAAGGGCAGAGGAGGAAGGAAAAATCAGGGCAGGTAAACTTTAAAATTGGCAGATCAGGTTGCTACAAGGTTTGTTTGATTTTTTTAAAAAAAGGTAAGTATAGGGATCACTTAGTTTCCCTTCAAAAGGCTTTTTGCCTTGGCAAAGGGGCAAGTTTCTTTTTCATTAAAACAGGGTAGTTCCCAGACACACAGACTAGTTCGAAATTGGGAGGACGGCAACGGAGCTAAATGTTACACGGCTTTGCCAACACCGATCATGACCTGTAAATAGAGATGACAGCAAGTACGTGGCGTGTGCCTCGTCTGCAGATGATGTCTCTTTGGGTGATGGAAACGCAGTCCCGGCGATGTGGAGAGAGGGGACACTCAGGGTCAAAGAAGTTGAGAATCCTGTCCCCTGCGAGCCGTTAAGCCTCATTGTCTGGATGCGACGAAGTCTGCCAGAGGGACACACAGCTCTCACTGCCGCCCTCCAGGCTCCCGGGGACCCTCGCCCGTTTCTGTGCCTCTCCGTTCCCCTTGGGGGAGGAGGGTCTACGGAGGAGACGAGATTCTCAGCCATCTGCTCTGCGCAGGAAGCCCTTCGCACTTGGAGGGAGAGTAACGCTAGCTTGGCCGGCCCTGTGCCTCCCGTCGTGGCCCCCACCGCTGACCGCGGTTCGCTCTAAGGCTGACTCGCCTTTGCCTGCCTCTCCCCTCCTCCATCTGCCGGGGCAGGACTCCTGGGCTGGGCGGGGCAGTGATTTAGGAGGCTGGGGGTGAGGAGTGACAAACTAATGCAACTCCCCAAGGTTGATCCTGGAGAGCCTGCCGGCCTCCCTTCTCCCTGAAATGCCCACCACAAGGGCTGCTTTCGTTGGGGACAGGTGTGCGGTCTACACACAATAAATCTCCCCGTTTCCCTCAACAAGATCATTCTGGTGATTAGAACTCCCCAGGAATTCATTTCACCCGTCTTTGTTCTGCACTGACCACGCTCCGAAACCCCTTAAAATCCCAGGCCTTCCCGTCCTGTCCGCCCCGAGAGCCGCTGAGAGCACTTCCTGGGAGCCCAGACTGGGCAGGAATGTGGGGGGAAACACCCCCCCCGGGGGCACAGGTTCACCCAGCTCTACCCCCGAGCCCACACCCCTCTGGGGAGGCATCCGCGTGGCACTACGCCTGCTGAGGGTCCTGGTCCCGGCTGCTGGTCCCTCTGCAGTGTGACTCTGGAGGGCGGTGCTCTTTTACTTTTATAGACTCTGTTTCTTTGTTTAGCAAAGTCTGGGTTAGGTCTCTGAGGGGCTAAAGGGCTTTAAAATTATCCTATATTCTGTGAATGTCAAGAAAAAGTGAATACATACCGGAGGTTTTCCGCGCAGTTGTATGGAAAGAGGGGGACAGGGAGAGGGGAGAGGCCTCGGAAGCTTGGGGGCTTCGTGTGGTTTATGAGGTGTGAGCTGAGCCCGCTGGGGCTCTTCCTGTCTCCAGCACGTGTGTGGGTCCAGCCCAGCTGGCTTTGAAGACGGTTTGGGGGTTTGGGGCAGCCGGCTTGCGCCCCATGAAGGGCCCTAGAACAGATCAAAGGTCTGGCCCCAGCAGCACTCCCAAACCCAGTGGACTGGAGGCTCCCTCTCCAGTGGCCACGGGGTGGGGGTGGGGGTGGGGGTCCCCCCCCCCCCGACTCCTGGGGGAACCCTCCGTTCTGCGAGTGGCCAAGGCCTGCCTGCTGCTCCATCCACGGCTGTGTCCCCTCTCAGCCCCTGCCCTGCCCGCACGACACCCCAGTCTCCACACGGTCTCCCTTTAAGATGCCGAACGCTGTCCTTCCCCACTCCGTAGAAAGGACTGGTGGCTTCAGTCAAAAGTTGCAAAAGAAAAAGGCGTTTGTAATCCATGTCTGCTCATGTCTGGAATTAAACACACATGAGGTTGGGAAATAAACCTGTCTCTGCACATATTCAGAGGGTGGGGGGCAGGCATCATTGTCATTACACATTGCTCCTTTCCCCTGAAGTGGGCCAAGCACAGAATACCACCTTCAGCAGGAGCACAGGGTGCAATCGGACTTGCCCTGTGGTCCCTGTGCGCACCCCCCCCCCCCCCCCCCCCCCCCGCCCAGCCACGGGAGGTGCACAGCGCCCAGACCGCCTCGGGGAGTGCGCCAGCCACGGGAGGTGCACAGCGCCCAGACCGCCTCGGGGAGTGCGCCAGGCCTGGGGTCAATCAAGGGGGCCCCTCGCACAGGGGTTGGCGGAGCCTGGGGTGGGGGGTGGCTGGGGTCACGGGAAGGCGAGCGGGGATGGATCTCTACAGGTGTCCCCTACCGCCCCCACCCCCGCCCCAAGCAGAGCCCTGAGGGCCAAAGGTATCACGTTATAACGGGGCCCTTTGATCTGCTGACCGCCTTCCTGACCCGGGGACTCCACCTTTAAAGGAGTCTGGAAAGCGTGGGACCCCGCAGTCCAGCCTCTCCAGCCAGAGGTGGGGCTTGCCAGAGGCTCGCTCGCTGCCTTTTCCGGAGGCCCCTCCCCGAATGCACGTGCCCCTTTAGAGATCACCGCCTGCTTCAGGCCTGAGCCTGGCCAAGCCCACCTCCCAGTGGCCCAGGTACAGGTCTGACCCTGACCGCAGGGCCCAGCCCTAGATGCAAACAGCCGGCCCCACGGGGCTCACTGCTGGGCTCCTGCTGAGTGGTCAGGTGGGTGCTGCAGGATTTCAATGCCTAAAATTCCAGCAACCTAAGGGCCCTCTATTTTGGGAAATTTCCTCCAGATACAAAGATATCTGCTTTATCCTCAGACCTTGGGCACAGGACGGGCTTGGCTGCGGGGGTGCTGGGGGTAGGGGTGAGGTGGGGGGCAGGGCTAAGCGCTGGTCCCTGCGGAGGCAGGCCTCGTCCACTGCAGGTTTCCTTCTGGCCCAGAACACTGAAAGCGTTTCGAGCCTCTCTATTGCACAGATTCAAAGCTCTGGGTTACAAAGGGAAACAAATCCCTCCCGGGAAACGGGGGAGCGTGGGGAAGCTCGCCCGAGCCCCTCTAATCAAGCTGGGGGCCAACAGTCTTCGACAGAGATGAAGAACTCCCCCCGACCCCCGAGTAGCCGATATGTTTGCTAGAGGATTTTAATCTAATTGTCTTGCAGGCTCACTCTCTCACTGTCGTTGGGAACCAGGAGAGAACGCACATCCCGCGAAGTCAGCTTTTCCCGTGAAGTCAGCTTTTCCGGAGCGACCCCTCTCACATAAGCCGCCACCCGGCCTGCACTTCGCAGTGAGTGAGCCTTGGCCTGGGTGCCTCTTATTTCAGGGTGGGGCACAGCGCACCCCTGCTTTCCGGGCTCCCTATAAAGCCCGTCTAGTTGCTGGCTTTCTGAAGGCTCCACACTGTGGGGACCGAGTGGCCCCAGGCCCTCCCCCACCCAGCTGAAGGGGAGGGTCGCTGAGCTCACGCCGGCAACTCTGCCAGTGGGAAGGTCACAGCCACACAGCCGTGTCCACCCTGGCCCGGACTGTCACCACCGACCTGGGGGGGCGGGGAGGAACAGGAGAGACGCGCAGATGAGCACAGATGCTGCTCAGGATCTGAACTGTTGAGTGTATCTGACTCCACATGATGGCTGGAGAGCAGCCTGGTGATGGCCACGGCCACGTCCACGGCGGATAATGGCAGGAAGTCGTTGCTAATTGGTCTATTTAGTAGT